GAGCACTTGCTGTTTTGCTTCTCCTTTGAATTTTGTCAGTTACTAAAAAAGGAAATTTTTAAGCAATACAAGTTTTTTGGAGAGAGAGTTTTTTAAAAAAAATAAATTAGTTTGATTTGATTTAATTAAAATTAACAAAATTGAACCATTATAATTTTTATTTATCAATTTTTAAAATAAAACAAATAGTATTAAATTTATAAATTTAAATAAAAATAATATTATATTTAATAAAATTTTAAATATATTAAATTTTTTAAACAATTATATTGATAAATAAATAAATCTTTGTTCTTACAATAATTTAATTATTTTAAATAAATATTAATTATTTAATACTATTGATATACTGTAAGTTCATTTCTGTAATAGTAATTATAATAATAAATTTATTATGATAGATTACAATTAATTTATTTATATAAAGATTGTTAATGCAATAACAATAAACTTTTTTTTAAATATTAAGTTTTATATTTAATATTATTTGTAATAATATATACTGTATATGTGGTATATAAAATAATTTTTAAACTTGTAATAAATTGTTTATATATTTATACCAATTTTGAAATAAAATTTTAATTGCAAAAATAATTTTATAACTTATAAATACAATATAATTAGTTATTATATAAATATATTTTTTAAAGATAACATTCTAAAAATTTCTTTGTTAAAAAATAATGATGAAATAAAATTTGAATTCTAAAATATACAAAATATATTATTATTATTATATTTATTAGATTATATTTTAGATTACATATATTGTTTACACTGTATATATAGTATATAAAGTATTTTTGTTTTAAAAAAATTATTTGCATTTATATTATATAATTAAAATTTCAAAAAAGTTTTGCAATGCACTATATATTGCATATAAACTGTTAGTATAAGATTAAAAAGAATAAAGATACGTATAGAGAAATAATGTGATATTTACAAAAATTTAAAAATAATAAAGTTATAATAATATTTAAAAAAATTTAAAGATAATAAAACGGATTAATATTGATATTTTTGTAAATGATGAAAAAGAAAAAATCTGATAAGTTAAAAAAAAACCAAGTTCAAAAAAGTAAACCTGGTGGTTTTACTTTTAAGAATTAATTCATGTATGCTATACCGTATGTACTATTTAAAGTTTATTATTTGCATTTGTCTAATTGGTTTAATTAATTAATTTATTTAATAAAAACCTTTTGGATGGATGCATTAATAATACATTACCACTAAAAAATAATTATCACCATATTATTTTGTCAAAAAAAAAAAAAAGAAAAGAAATTTCAAGAATTTATCGTCGGATCAACTATGAAAAGTTGCATGATGATTCGTCGCTGTATAAAGCATTTGCCGCATAAGATCGTCGCCTTTTTTAATTCCAACGATATGCCCAACAACGAGTTACAATTTAATATGAGTTATTTCCTTTTCGGGCGTACTCCTCTGCTCATTCACCAAATCAATAAATACACTTTACTCGATGAAAATTCCTTTTTTATTATTATTCTATCGCATATTGGTATGTTTGTTTACTACATTATGCTCATCATCTACATTATACTGTAAAAAAAAAAAAAAAAAACATATGTTGGGCATGCATGTTTGCCATCTCATTCATCACCGGTTGTGCCTTAGAATAATTGAATACTGTATTTGAATATTTGAATACAACAGTGCATATAATGTTATCGACAATCGTACCGCAATTGTCGCCGCGAAATGTTCGTAAGGAACGAAAATAATATAACGTGACACATACATATAGGGAAGTACGGTATGTAAATTAAACTGGTCTTTACTTTTATTATTTATTAACAATGATGCAAAGTGTGAGAGATCAGAGCAAGATAGAATTTCGAAGCGTAAAGCAATAATTGCGATTCTTTTGTTTACCGCTGCGTGATACCGGTTTGGTGTTGGCGACAGACTTGCCACGACCGCAATAGTAGATTTGCTTGGCGTCGAAACCAATAGTTAACGGGTCACCTTCATTGAAGTATTTTCACAATGCAACTATAGTCGCGTCAAAATAGTCGAGACATTTTCACATCGAGGCTTTAGAATCAAATGATGTACTGTACAGTATATCAAAATTAAAATTATTTGTGTGATCGCGAAACTACCTGCTTTGTACACCCGCCAAAAAAAAACAAAAACAAAAAAACAAAACAAATACATATACATATATACAGCGTACCGAGACGTGACAGAAATATACGTGAGTGAAATCACTTGAAGAAGTTTGAGTGATTATGATAAGTACATACTGTACGTGCACAGTATTATTGCAAATTGAGCTAAACCATACATGCGCGCATAAGAAGGAATCGGAGAAGATATTTTACAAAAGGGATGTTACAAAGTGACAATTGTTACTGTCGGGGGGACAGGACTTTTACTTTTTAGAATATAACGTTTTACCCCGCGCTCAATGAGGATCATTGATCCAGATCACACCCCACACCACGACTTTATCGATTACCGATGTTGACTTTTAGTAGAGTTGTATCAACATCTATGCTCCGGACTTTTTCACAACGTAATAAAGAAACGGGCATACATGATATGAATTAATTAATTAATAAACTGAATGCCTGGCTTTCACATGCCCCAGCGTTTTATTGTAACCCATAATTAGAGTGAGTCGCAAACTCCGTAATTATTGGTATGTACATAAATGCAATTTTTACTATCATGCATACTGTTAACACATTTTTTACTATCATGCATACAGTTAACCCATTTTTTTCTTCTCTCCGTTCAAAGAATGCCAAGCCTCTTTTTCTTTCTCTCTGAAACGTTAATACGTATCATGAACTCGATGATTATTATTCACCCGCCTCTCCCTTGCCATCAGAAAAGGAATTACATTTTATTCACATGGCGACTTATGAGCATACAGTATAGTACTACGTACAGTATAAGCCATTGATAATCATAACCATTGTTCCGATTTTTCCAGTCCTAAATATTTGCTAAACACTGTGATACCGTTTGGAAATTCTTATGTCTTGTATCACAACCGTATATAGTACTTGAAGTGGCAAAAAAATCCCGTTGTCCGTACAGCATCATCTAACATTGAAGAATTATATGCATTGTTCTTAAGAAATTGACTACGTAATTCATTGCATGACGTTAAATAGTGCACCATATTTGGATGCCAAATTTTCATATGAAAAAATCGTCAATCCCTCTTAGGCCTATTAATAACAACAATCTCTGGACAATAGAAAAATTAAATAGTGTATGACAAGAAAAAAAAAAAACCTCAGATTATGGCTTATACTACAAAGGTCACGATTATTCTTCAATATCTATATTCGAATGGTGATGTCAAGCAGGAAACCTGACTAGAAAAATGTCACGTTTCAATCCTATTATGCATGAATTCATAATGTACTCGTTTACAAATAGGCGTACGCTCAACGCATTTCAATTGCAGAAAATCATGTGTACAAATATATATATATATATACGGCACGATGTATCTCGAAGTTTTTCAAAAAGATTGAGTGATCATTATTCAATTGATAAAATCTACCTAAAAAGCGCAAGCAGTCAGGATACCTTTTTTTTTTTTCGCATAAATAATAACAAACATTTACCAGACTTGTCCTGTGACAATTCTAATTGATTCGCATCACACACCAAATTGCACATTTCTATATTTTTCCCCTTTCAAGCATTTGCTTGCTTCCGTACACCCGCATTCGTATGCATCGTGTATTAGGCATCAATCTTCCAGCGCATTCTCAAAATCATATATATTTCACCGTCAAAATGTCTTATCAGTCAGCCATTACTCATCAGAAAAAAGTTGCAAAGTCCACCGAACTTTTTCTCTTTAGCGACATCGTCCCTCGTATATCAATAGCTTGTCTCTTTATCATTTCATCAATTTTCTATTGCTTGTTGGCCTTGAACCTTTTCATTTGCGTAGTTGGAGGTACTCTCGCAAATTACACAAGAACGACAGTAATGTTTACCACAGAAAGAAGCCGTGATTTTGGTAAATGGTGCATTACATTGGGTCAAGGAATTTTGGCCTTGGCCATGATGGATATCAGCGAAAAATCATTACTTTCCTCTTCAGTCTTATCGTAAGTTTTCCTTCTATTCATTATCACGATCATCAAGCTTAAATTCGTACTGACTTTTTTTTTTTTTCACTTTCATTCTTTAGAACTCCACCAAAATGCAAGACCTCAAAACGCACCGTACGCATTCCAGTAATGTCGAAACCAACGACAACAAATCATCAAAAATCATTTTCTAAATTGCAATTGTCTTCAGAACCTCCGCCACTATCGATGATCGGCGAAATTTCATTGAATCAATGCAGTATGTATCGTTTTCTTCGAATATTTATTCACTTGGATGAGTCGTAAAGCCTAAAGTTTACCGACCCTTTCCTCCACGCCACAGAAAAATCCCCATCGTGCAAAGACACACGATATCGACCCACCATTCCATCTTCCCTTGGTCCAAATCGACCAAACGATCGAGAAAAACTTGCGAGTACCTGTCCTAGCCAAAGATTCTCGACTTCAGCATTCAGCCGACCAAAACGAAGCTTGTCAATAAAATTAATTGATTCCACTGCTGCAAATCGTGTCACGATTTATCAAAGATCTCGCGTCGCAGCCGTATCGAAATTAAGTCATAGCATTTATGATAACAAGTCAAAGGTGGTGATAGACGCTCCACCGGTCGAAGACGAGTGCGCTTTAATGAAGAAATCAAAATTTAATCGTAACCATAAAGAAACGTATGTAATCTTTATTGTTCTCTAAACTTTTAACATCCACGCTCTTAAAGAAGGTGGCTAATCAAAATTCTCATTTTTTAACAAATAGTGTTATAAAAGATAATAATATGAAGCTTGATGAAAATCGACCGATGGTCTATCAACAACGTCGTCGCATTCAAAATAAAAAATCACCATCGATGACCTTGCATACAGCAAGGAGATACTTGAAAATCATGTTGAATGCCAAATCGCACAGATACACCATATAGTAGACGTCACGTGTTTTAAATCAGAACAATCATTTTCTTTCTCTCATTTATTCAATTGTAAATATTTCACGATTCTTTCTTGTTTTTTAGTTTCACAAAACTATATGTACCATATTTTCATTTCCAAAATTCATCAATAAAAAAACTCAAAATGATCAACCAACTGTTATGCCGCATATTTCACATGATTTGCTAAGCGGAAGCAAACTTTACTGGAGTGAAGCTCATAAACAATTTCTCCATTGGTTTATTATTTTCGTTTACTATTTATTCGTCATTGCAGACTCTTAATTGCCTTCCCTTATCCTCCAATCGTCACTTTGGCGCATTTATTTACAAACCAAATTTACGTACGTACGTGTTTGATGATTGCTGCGAAAAGCGTTTCCATTGGAGTGTTGGTAAGTCGAGATTTCGACGATCGGTCAACGGATTCCGTTACTTAAAATAATGGTCACCCTTCTATCCTCACACCATGATCTCTTATTTGCTTGTTCGACGAAACATAAAAGCTCCCTTCGCACACAGATTTCTTTATCTATCAAAGATCTCTGTATTTTGGCGTACATGAATGCCACTAAAAAAAAAAAAATTTTACCGAAACAGTCCATATTTGAAATGTTCCTTCTAGATATCGCTTCTTTTCGCCAAATTTTCATGAATGAAAATTTTAATTGTGGTGCCTGACCATTCATCATCATCTAGAGAGTTGACGTCGTGTAATCATTACACGTGCACGACTTCTCATGCTAATATCGCAAATCAAATTTCTTCTCACCTTTCTAATAATAATTCATGTTTGTTTGTTTCTTACTCTAATGTGTATGAGTTGAAAGATGTACATACTGTAGACGTATCGGTTGTAGGCTAATTCTCTCATGAGAATTTCCTGTTGCATTTGTTCTTAAAAGGAAATGAGTAAAATGGAAATGGTAATTTTTTTATTCGATGCTTAGGAAATGATGGACCTGTGTGCAGTTTAGCGTGTCCGGAGGCCAGAAATGAAATTAATTCACTGGTCAATTTTTTGCTTAAAAAATTACAAAGATTATGCACGTCAGTCTCAAATGGATTGATGTTTTCGATTCAAGATTTCAACCTGGTATGTACAAGTACGTATGTTCCCTAAAAGGAATTTACTGCTATTAAAATGATTTATAAAAAAAGTGTGTTACACACTCTTATGTTAAAATGCTCATAGGTTTGGTTTGTCTTGAAAAAAAAAAAAAAAAAACGGTCATGTAACCATGTACTGAGTGTAATAATAACGAATATCACCGCCGATAAAGTTGTCATTGATGATAGTTGATAAACTTTTATTCGCTAATACGTTACACGCAAATGAGATAAAGTAACGCGACACTAATATTGTATATTATACTTATGTGTCACTACTAATAGGCTTAGAAAGTTTCTTTCACGGTCACGCTAAGCTCCTGGTTTCTCGCGATTTTATTCGTTCTTTCACAACACAACTATTATTCCTTTTTTCTAGGCGTTTGTTTGTGGAGTTGATCGGATTCTCAATTCAAACACTGGATTTGCTGGGACCACCGGTTCTCAGTTCATTTTAGGCGCTTGTATTTACGCATCACTTGGTAGGTGACTAATTGTAAACGACAATTCATCAGTATCTGTGTTTGATAAACAACAATAATAATCAATGATGATGATGATGATGCTTTGTTAAAAGAAGAGAACCTTTAAACAATGAAGCGATCCGCGATCTCTCCATTTGTGAAGTACTACATGTAAAATGGAATTACTATTTAGACATTTTGTTTACGTGTATCTTCGATTGCTCCCCGACGTTCTGTGGTGTCAATTACTGTGTTCCGCCATCAACTATTGTGATCAATGCTATTGTTCCTTTTCTTTGAAGCATCCACTCAAGGTCTGCTTTGGTGTTCAGGTGTTTACATTTTAATTTTTTTTTAATCTTATGGATCAGCTTACTTTGGTTTCTCCAGCGTACAACTTGAAATGTAAAATTTAAGTGCATTATGGAAAAGGCGATCGTCAAAGTAGCACACCTATCACCAGTTACTGTAAATAAATCTGTACATAAGAAAAAAGACGACATGAATTTTTAATTATGCTAATCGAATTTTCTTATTTTAATAAATCACGTAATACCGAAACTATCACGTTTTTCGAAAAAGAAAAGAAAATTTTCTAAATCTTATTTTATTTACACATTATCAAAATAATAACATTATTTTTTTTGTTAAATATACAATAAAATAGATAAACAATTTTATAAATTTTAAAATATAACTTAATAAATTTTTAATATTTTAAAAATAAGCATTCAAAATTATAACATAGTATAATAAATTATGTAAAATATAAATTTCATATTAGTTATTTATAAAAAATCTATAATAACAATAATTATTGTTATTGGTTGTTGAGTTTTTTTGTTTTTTATTGTTATTGTTATTATTGTTTATTTTTAAATATATATTTTTTATATTTGATATATAAATAATTTGAGTATTTTATTTTGAAATTTATTAATATTTGAAAATCAAATTGTATTAAATTAAAATTTTTTAAAAAATATATTTAATTGAAAAATACTTATCATAAAATTAATAATATTAATATTAATATTTAAAAATTTTTGTATTTGATTTTTATTAAAGTTTTCATTGTTTTTAAAAATATATATATTGTATATAATGTTATAAAAAAACTTTTTTTCACAAATCAATTTTTATCTAAAAATTTCCATATTTGATAACAGTCTCTTCAAGAAACTTTTATATCTCAAGTACTTTCAAATATTCACAACTATTAAATAACTTTTATATCTCAAGTACTTTCAAGTATTTACAACTATTAAATAACTTTCACTATAGAGCACCTTACAACCAATAATAACAAAAAACAGTTTCTATATACAACAATTTATTAGAATTAAAATCAAATTTCCAAATATTTTATTTCAACTTCAATAGTAACAAAATCATTAAAACAGAATTTGTTAAAAATCTTCTCATTTCTAATTTGTTAAATTTCTCCAACTAATTTCTTATTGTAAAAGAAAGAAAAAAAATTAAAAAAATTATGAAAACAGATTCCACAAATAATATTTGTATTTTTAATTTTACAATAGATAGCAATAAAAAAGTAAATTAAAACAAACTTTTTCAAACCTAAATTTCTTTTTCAATACAAGAAATATACCTTCTAACTTTTAATATATTAACAATATTATAATCTATATTATTTTATTAATTATCTATCTGTATACTATCAGTATTAAAAACATGTCTTATTATAAACTAATAAGCCTTTTTACTTATCTTATTAACTATTTTATTAAAAAACCAACTTTCACTCTTGACTATATCTTTATCAAATATAAACTTTAAAAACATCTTATTGATCTTTTTTTCAATCTTTTATCTAAATAATTTAAAATCTTTTTTCAAATCAAAATCAAACTTTTTACAAAACTTTCAATACCAAACAAGATTAATCTAATTACAACTTTTTGAATTTTAGTATCTTACTATAAATTTGATAAACTTTCTAACATTTACAGTATTTCAAAGAAATTTCTTTTTTTTAAAAAAACCTAAATAAAATTCTAATCAAATATAAAAACATTTTTCCTATTGAAAAAAAAATAATTTTATCAATTTCTTTAACTATAAAAATTATTTTCAAAAAGAATATAAAGTTTCTTACAAATTATTTAATATATATTTTAATCTTCTATTACTAAAAAAACTATTTTTTATAACCTATTAACTTCTCAATTCCAAATTTAAGCATTATTTCAAGGAACAATAATTTTATTTTACAGAAAATTAAAACTTTACTCAGAAAAATCTACTACTTCGGATTTTTATCTAATAGCTTCTTTTTATTAAAACAAAACCTTTTTTTTCTTCTACCAAAGCCATATTTGAAACCAACATTCTTCTTTTAGCAACAAATTCAATAATATTTCTTTTCTTTTTAATACACCAGTTAAAAAATATACCTTTATTGGTTCATTCTTCAAAGAATGAATTAATCTTTTTTTATATCAAATATTAATCCAAAACCTAATTAATAATACAAATAATAAGACCTGTGGGTCTGTAGTGTAGTGGTTAACACTCCACAGGTCAAATCACAAAATATCAGTTCAACCTTATGTAAGAGCAGTTAAACAGAATTAATATGGTATCTGATGTCATAACCTGTTAAGCGCTGTTTCTCATAAAAAACTGTTTCATACACTGATCCAGTGGGCATTGAGATTGTGATTTTCAGAAAAGGTGTTGTGGCGTAATAATTATCCAGTTGGTGTTATGATGATTCTTGCTAAGTTTGGTACAATTCCCAGTTCCACAAATAGGCCGTTTCCCTCTCCCTATAGTCCATGAGACTATAAAAGAAATCCAATATGGAGGGTCACAAACTGAAAAAAAACTATTCAGCAAGACATTTAATATGACCCCCCTTGTGCATGAGTTACAATTCATCAATAATACCAACCATTCTTACCTGTAGTGAAGGTACTAGTTGGTAATGTTTATCAGAATAGAAGACTCACCCTTAAGACATAATCCAACTTTGGAAGAGCTGCACTCTCTTAAATAAACAGCTTATGCTTGAAGCCAGGCATTATCTAAAGGACTGTATTGTCAACCTATAAGATTTAAAGGTATTGAACCAAAATACTGGCTATAGGTCCTATCTATTTTTCAAATAGTGATCCTTCTGGCTTAGACTTCAAGAAGAAAAACCAAAAAAGACAGAGACACAGTACTCCGATGAGTAATTACATTTGGTGTTAAAGAATTTAATGGAAGATTTACAATTTGAGGCTGGAAGATGTAAAGAAAATCTTTGGTGACAGGCTGTATCTAGACAGCTATATGACCATAAGTAGATTCTAGTTTAAATATAGTGTTTAATATAGATTAACATTGTATATACTTTGTATGTAATGACTTATCTACGATTAAATACAGACTAGAGTATAGTCTCACTTTAGT